GAGATCGGGGCTCGGGGGCCGGGGCCAGGGGTTCGGGCGCGCGGAGGTCGGGTTCGGTTCTGTGGTCCGGGGCGGGCGCGCGGACCCGGCCTCACGGCGCCTCGCGGGCTGTCGCAGACGCGCCCTCGACATGCAGAACGACGCCGGCGAGTTCGTGGACCTGTACGTGCCGCGGAAATGGTAAGCTCCCCTCCCGCCTCCCGCACGCATCCCCCACTCGCCCCCCGCGCCCCCGCCCCGCTCACCGCGCTCCCCCCGCAGCTCCGCCAGCAACCGCATCATCGGCGCCAAGGATCACGCGTCCATCCAGATGAACGTGGCTGAGGTGAGCCGGGGAGGCCGTCCCAGGGGGAGGCTCCGAGCCGAGGGAGCGAAATCGGGGCTGCCCGGGGGCGGGGCAGGGGAGATGGTTCCTAAACTCCGGGCTTAGGGCTGCAGGCGTTTGGGTGTCGTCTCTGTGACCCCCGTTCTCCGTTTATAGGTTGACAAAGTGACAGGCAGGTTCAACGGCCAGTTTAAGACGTACGCCATCTGCGGGGCCATCCGCAGGATGGTGAGTGTGTCCTCGCTTTGCTCCCGCGGGCCTTGGAGTGGGGAGCAGCGTCCTCCTCCCTGTCTCCAGGCAGAGCGGATTTGTGGGCAGAATACTTAAGCTAGCCCACTGGACTGCTGGCTGCCTGCCCTTCCCTGGGTGGGAGTGGAAAAGGGGTGCTCGAGCCTTTACCTTGGGGCTACCCATTTATCACAGGCCCCCTGCCCCTGGCCAGTCAGGCATGAGGCCACGTGACTGGGCCAGTCTGCCCATTTGTTCACTTGGGACAACGATGTGGCTGGACAGTGCAGGAGAGACAGTCCCCATGTGCTTTTTTTCTAGGGCGAGTCAGATGACTCTATTCTCCGATTGGCCAAGGCTGATGGCATCGTCTCAAAGTAAGAAGAGGGCTCACGTTTGAACATAGAGGCCTAGTACTTGTCCAGAAACAAGGTTTTAACGTTATCCTTTCTTTTGTTTTAGGAACTTCTGAGTGGAGAGGATCACGGATGTGGAATGCTTGTCATAAATAAAGAGTGGAAACCCACCCGTGTTGGTTCATTCCATGCCAGTACGTGCGCACCTCTCTGGGCTCTGGAGGGTCAGGGCCAACATTTTGCTGTGTATGGTTGACAGCAGTTGAAAGGAGACAACCTATGAAGTATGTTGCAAAACCAAATTTTACTTCAAAGCACAACTACGTTACCATTTGCAAACAGATTGGTGACACATGACTTGACATTGAGGTCAGACAGTCGCTTGACACACATTTAAATCCGTAACTAGCGGGTACTGAGGGAGCAGCACCAGGCCCTGGGACACACCTCAGATGTCTGGGCTCGTTCTCAGGATGCTGGCTCAGCGGAGGTTTGCCTTCAATGCTGGCTTTGCTGCAGGGACCCGAGCGCCACACAGTGGCAGCTTTTGGCATTAAAAAGGACACTGAAGGGGATGACAGACGAGCTTGATAACAACTACATTTTACCACATAAATACGCACATAAATGCCCAAGATGTGTCCCTCGAGGCTAAGCTGTAAACCAGAAGATACGTGTCCCTTACAGGGTTTGTAACACGAGAATATCCTTGAGGTGCTATGGTGGCGGGACAGGTTGCTTTCCAGAAGAAAGCTGCTTGGGGCCGAGCAACTTCCATCCTCTGTTCCTCCGTGAGTGCACGTCGGGTGTGGGGGCCATCTGGGAGGGAACAGGGAGGCACTGTAATAAATAAGGTGGGAATACGGGCCTCACCCTCCACCCTGCAGTCTCCCTGAGTCTGAGTGGCTGAGGAAGGAGGGAGCAGCAGGCCAGCACGGGGGAGCAGCTGTCCTGCACCTCCGCGGGGTCCAGGCTGAGTGCTGGTGGTCGAGTGCTGTGATGGGCAAAACCGGCCTCCTTCCTGCAAAGCACCAGTCCACATGGACAGAATACGGGGTGGGGCTGTCCCAGAGCCCCTCCAGTGACAGGTTTAAGGGACAGCAGTAGGGAAGCAGCTTAGTGACCCAGCCAACATTGTCACTTTTGAGACCAACTGACCCATCAAGAAAAACAACAGTTCTTGGTTCTTCGGTGCTTCTGAGGCGGCAAGTGGAGAACTGGACACAGACCTGGGAGAGCTGAGCAGGGGCCCTGCTGACATCTGGGCACAGACCTGCACAGAAAGACCACGGCCACCCCTTGGGGTCTGCTTAGCAGGACAGCTACCTCCAGCCTAGGGAGAAAGGCATCGACGCTGGCCCTTTTAGTGGGCGGGGCTGTGGAGCATCCTCCCTGCTTGAGGGTCCTGTGGCTTCAAGTGACAGCTTCAGGAGACCTCATTTAGCCAGTTTTTGTTCACTCAAAAAAAGCGACAGAACCCAATCCCAAATGACAATGAATGCGCTGTTTCCCTCCGTCACAATGTTGCCCAGGAAGATCAAGAACCAAGCGCCGTCAGTCCAGTCACCCCGAAGGTCCAGAGTGTTGCGGGCAAGCAGCATTTTCCTGGTGAGCGGTGAAGGATGGACCCCCCACAGGGTGGGCTAGTGTGTGCCGAGGCGCTGGCTGGGGCGTGCGACACCTTGGGTATCAGGATTTCACAGTGACGTGATGCTCGGAAGAACAGAGGTCCAAGAGTTAAAAATGAAATCCAACCAGGAGTCTGCTCTTGGCTTAACCTGATGCCAGAGCTCTGCTTGTGGATGTGGGGGGGCGAGTGGACAACCCCCAGGGCTTTGCTGGGCTGGGAGGGAGCCAGGCCGTGGGGGCGGGGTGCGTTCCACAGCGCTGTGTTTCCACATCTGAAAACCCGAAGTAGCCAAGATGAGTGCTTCAGACGTTAACTTCAGTCATTGGAGCGTGTTCAGGGAGATCTGGAAACCAGGTCTCCACCAGGGCGCCAGTGCAGCGGCTGCGATGGTTTGCAGGCGGCAAGGCGATCAAAGGAGAAACACACCACAGTCAGGGTTCACCACCACGCAGTGGACATCAGAGGTCCTGCAGCCAGACCAGTCTCAGGCACGTGAAGAAAAAGAAACAAACAAAACCCCACAGTTTGTTCATGTAAGAACGCAGGCAATTCTCAGAAATACCGTGGCGGTCTGGTGCCCTCTGGAATGACAGCAGTGACCCTCCAAGGAAGCGGGGGTGTGAAGGCTGCACAGCGGCCCCGCCAGGTGGGTGCAGCAATGGGGGCCGAGGGCAGGCGTTTCAGAGCCCGGGACACCCCCCGGCCACAAATGTGTGTGCTGGGGGGCTGTGGCTGGGGGCGCCTCCTCCCATCAGAGGCCACCTTGGCTAGAACTGCTGCGTGAGGCGTCTGTAGTGAGGTAACACCTGGTTCTCGGGGAGATAGAGAGCGAGCTCCAAGGCCACGAGCACTGTGAACTCAAACCCGATGAGATCCCGTCTGTTGAAGCGAAACCTTTCTTCTAACTTCTGCGTTGAAGGAGAGAGAGGTTAAGGTCGGCCCCTCCCCTTGTTCCCACCTAGGTCAGCAGGTCTGGGTGTGGGCGGCAGGCCCTGCTCCAGCTTAGCCAGTAGGAGGATGACCACCCTCCGTGTGGGGGTGCCTGGCCTATGGCCAAGGGGCTCTTGGAGGTTATGCCCGGGAGGCCGGGCCGGGGGGAGGCCGGGCAGGACGAGAGCATACTCACGTCGATGAGCTGCTTCACCTCGTTCTTGCGGAGGTCACTGCTGATCTTGGCTGCGAGCAGCACGCACGCCCCCGCGCACAGCTTGCGGTTCTGCTTGTTGAGCTTGCCCTGCAGGACGAGCTTCTCGAAGTACACGTAGGCCATGGACACGGTCACTGGCTCCAGGCTGCACTCCTCGGAGAGATTCTGCATCTCCCGTTTCAAACTGTGGTTTACACAGAAGCCAAGCGCTGGTGGGGCCAGGGAAGTGGCCACCCTCCCACTACCAAAGGGACATGCCTGTGGGCCATTAGAAGAGTGCCCGTGCCTCCAGGCTGGCGCGGCCCAGCACTAGGGCCCATAGCTTGATGGGTGGGCAGCAGGCTGGTCTTGGTCTCCACTTCCCCCTCAGTGGGGAACTGCAGGATGCCTCAACTGTACTGGGTGGCCCACTCTGTCCTCAAGGGGACACCACAGAGGACAGAGTCCCTGCTCTCCTGTGGCAGCCAGGTATGGGGAGGAAACGGCCAGTGCAAAGGCCCTGAGGCAGGGGCGTGCTGAGGCGTCTGGACCATCAGATGAGTCCCCCACTGCTGCTGGGGGGTGGTTAGTGGGACGCAGCAGACAGGACCCCAGCAAAGGGCAGTGACTGGGCCCAGCTGCCTGGGCTCAGGGCAGCTCCACCAGTTACTCGCTGTGGGGCTCTGGGCAAGCCTCCTTCTGGTCAGATGGTGGGAGGTGGGTGGGCCTCGGGGGGGCACATCTGGACTTGTCAAGCTCAAGAATCTACTGGAAACGGGAGAGGAGAGGCCAACAGGGCCTCACAGGATGACACACGTCAGAAGTGGGTTTGAGGAATGTCCCCACCGCGGCCCAGGGACATCGCCTGGGCCCTCCTCACCTCCTAATTTTGCTCAGCGTCAGCTTGATGTGCGGGAACTTCTCCCGGAAAGTCTCATTCATGTCCTTCTTGAGGTCGGAGGGCTTCACGTACTCTATCACCGTGGTCTGCAAGAGAGAGGGGCAGCAGGTAGGGGACGGCCCCTCGCGCAGCCCATTTCACACTGGCCTGAGCCTGCAAACGCGAATGCGTAGTGGCTTCAGAGAGGCGCGGGGTCCCTGCGAACGGCACACCTCAAGACAGAGGGTGCCAGAGCCTGGGACACGAGGCGAGAGACCCCGGCTGCTAAGCCTGTGGGCTGAAGGCAAGGGCTGACCCTTAGGTGGGGGGGCCAGTACTGCCCCCTGGCCTGCTGCATGTCCCTGCCTCCCCCGCGGTGCTGCTGGTGCCCGGTGGGTGGGGGTGCGTCAGCCCTGCCCTGGCGCCTTGTCCACAGCCCACTCCCAGGCCCCCAGAGGCGTGAACCGTGTGGGTGTGTCACCGGGGTGGCAGCACTCCATACCATGTAGGATGCGAAGATGAGGACCCGCTTGTGCTTGCCGCAGGGCCACTGGGGGTCGTCCAGGAGGTTGGGGTTGTACTCCAGAGCGTCCCCTGCGTCACCCCCTGCAAGCAGAGGGCAGCCCTGACCACACGAGCCCAGAGCTCCGGTCAGCCGGCTTTTGCCACCTGGAGTCTCAGTCAGAACCCGTCTAGTGCCTGGGGAGCCTCACTGAGGAACAAGCGGGAATGACACTCCCGGGGTCTAGGACGGGCTCCAGGCCTGAGGGCTGGGTGGAAGGGAGGATGTCCCAACAAGGAGGGACCCCCGGAGCCAACTGTGGACACGGGTTCTCTCCATCGCCTGGCTCAGTACCTAGTTCTGTGCTGGCTGGTGCCGACTTGGCGGGGGCAGGTTTGTATCTTGACCCTGGCAGAGCTCGGGGGACGCTGGGCCGAGGCTGGGGCGGCAGGCCGTGGCTGTTGGTCTTGTGTGTGACCAGGGCGTTGGTGGGGTACAGGAACTTGGCATAAGACACGACCTGGAAAGGCAAGTGCACCAGGACTCAGTGCTGCTCATTTCCGGGCCCCACGGCCCCGTCCCTCTGCTTTACTCCTTCCTGCTGCTGCAGCATTGCACATGAAGGCTCCCCTTACGTGGGCATGAAGGAACGGTGGCAGCTCAAGCTACTGAGTGCAGACCTGAGCTAGATGCTGCTCACTCACTTGAAGTTAGAGTTCTCAGTAACAAGAACATTCTGGAACTCCACTCTCGCCATCCCTTATTTGGGATCTGCAGGACAGGAACGTTCTCCTTGCCTCTGAAGCCCCTTGGCCTCTGACCACCAGTGCAGAAGGCGCCCAGGACACCCCTCCCAACTCAGGTCGTCCCTCATTACCTGGCTGCTGAGCGAGACCACTGGGCCCATTCTTACAGGGCTGTGTGGCTTGCTCCCACTGACACCTTGCATTTTACAAGATTAAAGTGAAACACAACTTCATCGTCTACTTCCTGGATAAACGTACACTCTGCACCTGCTGGGCCCTGACCGTGTGTGGTATCGACTCTTGCCTTTCCATCTGCTCCCAGCTCAACGCCTTCCAACTCAAAGACCATCTCAGAAGAAATGGAAACGCCGCCGGACGGATGCCTCTGCTTCTGGCTGTCCACCCTCAGGTCACTGCAACACACAGCCGGAAGAAAGCTGCTGGGCCCTCCGTCTGCCCCTCGAGCAGGCGGGGAGCAGAGCCTCTGGGGTCGACAGCTCACCCCCTCAGCACCCATGATGCCCGCCGAGGCCGAGCGTGCACGCACAGCTGGGAAGACAGCAGCACCCGTGTCACAGAGGACACAGGCCGACTTCTGTCTAAGAACCATCCGGTCTCACTCCTTCCCTAGTCCCAGGCACTTCCCAAAAAACGCCCTGTAGGTCAGCAGTGACATGGCCCCGTGGCACTGACCGGAGCTTCGCCTCAAGTCTGCCTTCCCGCTATGTGCCCTCTGCCCTGTGGTCAACCCTTGGCTCAGGCCCCCACCGGCAGGTTTCCCCACCACTGTTTTTATGCCAGGTCACACGGTGCCATCCCCACCCTGACGGCTGTCTCCTTCTTCCTGGAGTTATGCATGGGACACAGCTGCCTGGACTGGTCACAAGGCTGCACAGTGGTGTTGTCATGAGGACGAATGTCTCAGACACCTACATTTAGGCAGCTCAAAGTAATGGTGTGGACACACTCCCTCCTGGAGAACCAGGACCGACATAGCCTTCAGAGCTCTCGAGAAGCTTCAGTGGAAGCTGCTGGCCCCTGCGTGAGGCTGCCAGGAGCCTGGGGTGAGCCCAGCCCACACCTCCCTGGACTGGGTGGGGACCAGGTCACTCACCTGACCCGCAGGCTTTCTCCATAGGGCAGGACCGAGAAGGCTGCACACAGGGACCGCTTGGCACAGATCAGGACAATCCTGTGAGGAAGGCAGAGGAGTCAGAATAGGGCGGTGGGTGTTCCTTCCCGCCTGGACTCGGGTGACAGGAACTACTCCAGGCGTCCAGGGGACTCTCAGGCCAGGAGGCCCAGTGGTCTGTCTACCCCAGCTCTTGCTGGTTCCCTCCAGGTGCTTAATAAGGGCGACCTGTCCCACTGGAGAGTGTGTCCCCTCCACAGCGTGATGCGCTGCACAGAAGGGTCTCACCGGGCCTCACGCAGGCAGGGTAGAGGCCAGAGGTTGGGATCATAGTTCATCCAGGAGAGGCCAGGCTTTGGAGGACACAAGAGACAGAGGCATGTGCCCAAGTGACCGTCTAGTTCAGGGAGCCTGTCCTCAGCCATCCTGGAGGGGTGGGGGTCTAATAGCATCAAAAAGTGCCCAGGTCTACGTCCCAAGCCAAACTGCCCTGAGGTGCCCCTGCGTGGAGCACACGGCAGGAAGGATGGCCTCCTCCTCCGGGCGGCCCCACACCTGCGGCCACTGACGTACCTGCTGTTCCTGGTGTCGTACTGCCTCATGTTCTTGATGAAGTGTGTCTTCTTCAGGCCTTTATGTCTCGGGGATCCAGATACGTGTTTGGTTCTGCAAGGCAGAAAACGGGTCACTCTTCCCTCCCCAGGACCCTCTCTGCCCCCAGGGCCAGTGGCGGCTGGGGCGTGCAGGGCCCTGGAGTGGGCGGTGGCTGAGACCCGTACCTTTGGATGGAGGCACATCCCACCGCATCTTCCAGAAACTCGAGGGAGCAGCGCTGGGAGGCAACTCTCCTTCTGTGAAGAAGACACCGCAGAGCCTCAGAATACAGATCTTGGAGGGCTCTCTATCCTGGAGCTAGACCCGCACTGCCGTGTGGGGAGGGCCCCTCTGGAGGCAGAGCCGCGCTGTTGGTCACTCCTGCTTCTCAGGCACCACGCTCCTCTCTAGCCAAGGGAGGCCCCAGGGTCACGGGGCCGGGACCCGGTCTGAGCCTTGGGAAGGGCCACCCAAGGACCAGAGTTTGCCAGAAGAAAATGAGGGGGCCCCGGTGCTGGGAGGGGTGGCCGGCCGCACCCTCGTCTGCCTGCCGCCTGCTGCCTCCTGGGGCTCAGGCTGGCGGGTCCCGAGAGCCCTCTCAGGCCCAAGATCAGCGGAGCAGGTCACGTGCACCCATGGCGGGCTGTAGGCAAAAAGACGCGCTCCCGGACGGTCCTTTGCAGGTTTGAGGGATCTGGTGGAAGCTCCCGGAAGGGGGTCCAGTCATGGCTCTGCAGGGCCAGCTCCTCAGACGGGGACAAGTCCTGCCAACCCTCCCCCCGACCTCAGGGCGCTGTGGCCCCGAGAAGCCCAGGCCCTGTCCCCACACGGGCCTGTCTGCCCTTGTGGCGCCCTGCCCCTCCCCCAGCAGGAGCAGACAGGGATGTGTGTCCTGGGGACACCCAAGAGCACTCAGAGGGTGACTTACGCCTGGCCCCTATTGCTGCCTTGTGCTCCCCACACGAGCCACAGCCGCCCACCACAGGGCCCTCGCGGGGGCTGCCCCCTCCGTCCGGAATATTCTTTTCCCAGCTTTTCCAGTGGTACCTCGACTTCAGGGTCAGCTCACATGTTGCCCTCACTCTCTCCGGGGCAGCCGCAGCCCCGGTGCCCACCCGCTCCCCTGTGACTGTGTGTGTTGGAGACGTGCCTGTCACCCAGGGGGGAAGACACAGCGTGTCAGAGCATTCGCCTGGCACTCGCCCCTGTGAGCATCCCAGGAGCTGAGGGATTGGCAGACCCTATCACACCGAAGCCCCTCCACTGGACGGTCCCAGGCCTCATGGCCAGGATTCTCCTTGGAGCACAGCCCTGTCCAGTGACGGAGAGAACTGCTTCCGGACTCGCTGCTTATTGATAAACAGTTTGATGAGGCCTGGCAGGTCTGGGATCAACGTCAAGGAGGGTCCGAATAAGGGTGATTTCCCTACAGAAGCTGGCTGTGGCCGCGTGGTCAGGAGGGCTGCGAGCCCAGCTGTGTCTAAGAGAAGGCCGTGTGGGGCTGGGGTGATGGAGTTAGCGACTCCTCAGGAGGGACACACGTGGCCTCAGGTCAGGCCTGAGGCCCCACAGACGTGCTGGGTGGTCAGGGAGCAGCGGACCCCAGCCTGCCCGAGGGGGAGTGGGTCCTCAGTGACCACAGAAGGTGGCCAAGGGCCGGCCGCTTGACGACAATCAGGGGCTCCTGAGGTGTGATGGGGTGCTGTGGCTGTCCTAGAGACAAAAACTGAAATGTTAACGGAGAGGACGAGCTGTTCGGGTCTGGTTGAAACCCATCCCGAATGGGGGGCCTCGCCAGCACCCAGCACGCACTGGGGAGCTTGGGAAGGCAGCCTCTGACCTTGAGTCGGGGGCTTCTCAAGCCTGAGGGCTCCAAGCCCCTGCATGGGCGGCACCCTCAGGACAAGATCATAAACCCTGGTTACCGGCACCAGGGCCACCACTGTGGTCACTTGTCGACCTCCTCGTGGTCTTGCAGGCTGACATGCACATTTCACCAGTAAGGACCTCACAACAAAGCTACGAAGGCGGGCCTGTTGTCCCCACACCTCGCCCAGGGGAGGGAGGCTCCAGAGGTCGAGGCTGCACGGTTTATGAACCAAAGCAACTCGGGTCCTGCACTCAGCATGGGCTGGGCACGCGTCAAGTGCCTCGTGTGTCAACAGTAGCCGTTTCGTTAGGAGAGTGAGCCACGTCGGGCTCCTTGCGGGGACAGAGAGGAGGGCTCATGCCGAGGAGCCCACGTGCGGGAGCTGCAGCCTGCCCGGCGCCACACCTTCCTCTCAGCCTCTCACGGGGCCTCCTCCCAGCAGGACTCTCGTTCACAGACGAGATCTGGCTGGGTCAGGGCACCGCCCTGGGTGCAGCCAGCCTGGAATCCAGGTCACTAAGAGCCAGTGGGTCCTCTAGGAGCTGGCGTGAGGGACAAAGGCACTGTCGCATGTGGGGGGCGACTGTGCCAGTGAGGGTGTTATAGCTGCCACCTCACACCAAGGCACGACTGCAAAGGGCGGCACAGAGAGGCACCTGCCCGAGGTCACACAGCCAGGGCGGTCCTGGGGAGTTCCAAGGCTGTCCCCCTGACGCCAGAGTCTAGACTCTATTTAAGTCTTTTAAAGGGAAACGCAACAGCTTGTTGAAAAGCAACTAGGATGGAACAGAGGAGTCAGCCCAGTAAAATCCGGGGCACCGCCACAGGGGCCCCGTCTCCAGAGAGGCTGTGCCACCTGCCCCCTGCTTGTGACGGGGAGGGGCGAGCACCTGAGGCGACGTGAACGTGCAGAACTGGAGCAGCAGCCGGAGGACCGGCCAGGATGGCAGGGTGGGAAGGGCTGCGGGGAGGAGGGCACCAGGGCCTCTGCAGGCGGGCATGCTGCCTGCTCAAGGCGCAGGGGGAGGGGCGTGTCGGGCAGACACCCAGCGTCCTACGAGGCCCAGGGTGGGGGCCAGGCGGGTGCTAACCCCGTGGTGGGGGATGAGGCCGGCCCAGGTGGGGACAGGACCGTCCCTGGGAGGTGTCTGTGTCCTGCCCCAGAGGGCTGGGCTCTGCGGCCCCATGGCGCAGCCCCATGTGGCGCTCTCAGGCTCATTTCCTCAGGTAATTTCCCAGGTGAGGGCCCATAGCTCCTGCACGCCTGTGACCTCACTCACAGGGCCCAGGCCAGCAGCAGTCTGCACAAGGCGCTGGGGCACCAGCACCTACATGCCCTGCCCGCGGAGCGGGGGGCGCTGACTCCGCCGCCTGCTCGCTCTGCTGTTAGTGCTGGGTGCCTGCAGGAACCCTGCTGTCCACCTCACATTTTAAAATCTGTTCCCGGCAGGCTTCGCAGAGCCTGGTCTCTGTGGTTTTATTCTATCTTTCCGCCGTCGTAAGCATTTTACACATAACCTCAACCCTCACAGCAGCTCAGTGAGGTGGGCGGTATTATCACCCTCAGTTCATACGTGGGGAAACTGAGGCACAGAGCTGGTGAGCAACTTGCCTGAGATAATCCAGCTGGTAAGAGGTGGGGCTGAGACCTCCACCCTGGCAGACGGCCTGCGCACTAACCCACTGAACCACTGCCTCTGCCCCGCCCCTGCCACTGCCCCACCCCGCCCCGTTGGGTGAACTGGAATCCAGGCCCCTCCTGCACCCTCTCCTCAGTGCTCCTCCTCTGAACTTGGCCTCCGTTCCAGGCGACGCTGTTTGGGTTTGGGTGCACAGACTGTGACAGTGCTGATTACGGGGCCCTGAGTTCTGAGCCAGAGACCAGGCTGGCCGAGGGCGGGACGCTGCTTTGGGCACTCTTTCCCTTCCCGCTGCACGGGAGTTGGAGTTTGTGGAGGAAGGACACCCTGCAGACCGCTGGCCGGGGACACGGGAGGCCCAGGTTTGCACACCTACTGCTCTCTGAGTCATCAGGCTGATGCTCAGTGACTGAGAGGTGAAGCGGCTGAGACGGTGGGAGTCCGGGCCTCCAGAGGGCATGTGCCAGAGACGACCAGCTGCTTCCATGCTCAGAGGGCACAGTGGCCAGCCGGCAGCTGTGGAACATTCTGGAAGTGAGAGTTCACGGGCAGGAAAGCAGCAGTCTCCACACTCCCAGGTGCAATGCTCCTTGGGTGCTGAGGTGACGGAGCCTCAGGCAGCGCCCACAGTAGCCAGTCTGCACGTCTCCCAGAAATCCAAGGAGAGAGGGCAGTCATCGAGCAACAACCAGAGCCCCGGTCTCAGACACGCACGGCCTCCAGGGGCCGCCCCGGACAGTCGGGCGGGGCTTGCTCTTCCCAGGGCATGGCCCAGCACCCAGCCCATTCCCCAGGCAGCACCCCTTTCAAGAGAAACTGCTGGGGGCTGGCCCGGTGGTGCAAGCAGTTAAGTGCTCGAGCTCCACTGTGGCGGCCCGGGGTTCACCGGTTCGGATCCCGGACGTGCACCGACACACTGCTTGTCACGCCATGCTGTGGCAGCGTCCTATATAAAGTAGAGGAAGATGGGCACAGATGTTAGCCCAGGGCCAGTATTCCTCAGCAAAAAGAGGAGGATTGGCAGATGTTAGCTCAGGGCCGATCTTCCTCACAAAAAAAAAAAAAAAAAAAAAAAGAGAAACTGCTGGCCAATCGACCTCTGGCAGCGGCCTCCTCCTAAGGCATGTCAAGGGCAGCAGCCCCTCAGTGAGCCCCAAGGCGGGACCCTTGCACCCTCACACACGGCCCCAGCAGGACAGCACCACCACGCATGGACGCGCTCCAGCCCTGGGTGCCCTGCTCAGCCACTCAAGAATCTTAATGCTGACCACATGGCTGCCCCGGGCCCCCCAGAAACGTGTCTGTGCATCCAGCAGACACGACAGGAATATTCTGGAGACTCTACCCAAAACAGCCCCCACTGGGAGCGATCCAGTGCCGTCAGCAGGACGCTGACACACTGTGCTCCCAGGGAGACGGCCGCCTCCAGGACCAGACACAGAGGATACTCTGATTCCAGCCTGAGCCACCCGGGCGCAGGCGGCTCGGATCAGTGAGAGAAGTCGGCATCTCGTATGGGGGGACCCGGCTGAGGAGACCCTCTAGGGGAGGGTACGCTGTCCCCGAGCTATGGTGGGCACCTGGGCGTATGCACCTGGTAAATGCATCCAGCTGGGTGCTCATGCACGCCTTTCACACCTTCACCTAAAAAAGGCTAAAACAAACAAACTACAAAGAACAAGTCTGGGTTTTCCGCTGCCTCGGCTGACACCCTGCCCCCACTCCCATGTCTGGTCACACGGGTCACCCGAGCCGCCTTCAAGTCACACGGGATGGGGTCTACTCCTGCGCCTCGTCCCTCCACGTGGCAGTGACTGGCCCCAGGCTGCCTGCATCTGACACTTTTGGGAAGAAGGGGTCCGGGGGTCAGGGGCGTGGGGGGGCTTCCAAGAGGGCACAGGCGACCACCGCATGTAGCATGGGCCTGCTCGCTCCTCCGGCTCCCTTTCAGAATTGCCTCTTTACCAACAGGCAGCCCACACTTACCTCCCCCTAGACACATGCTCCCTGACACGAAGAGAAATCGTATTTATTACACAGTGTTTCTAGTGTCTGATAAACTTCCTCTACTTTGCAACTGAAGAAACGCCCAGCCGTGGAAGGGCTCCTCTCTGAGGTCTGAAGACCACCCAAATCGAGCAGGGGCCATGTGAAGGGGCTGTTGTACGTGGGATCACATGATCTGAGAACGGGCCGGCTCCCGCTGGAGTGACCGCTCTTCTTCGTGCAGTGGCTGACGGGTGCCAGCACCGACTTTGAACCCCCACTGCCAGGAGAGCGCGGGCAGTGGTTTCGCTCGGCTGGCTCACGACTCCACCCCGCCTGACTGTGGCACCTAGCACACCACAGGCCCTGGGTGCATACTTGCCCAATGAGTGGACGGTCCTGGGTACCCTGTCTCACCAAGTTCCTGCCAGGCAAAGCAAAACTCCCAAATTCCAGCCAACCCCTCAGAGAGACCTGCAGCTTCCCCCAGTGACGGGACCCGACGCAGGGGCCCTGGGGGCCAGGCCTCCATCTTCGCAAGGCCTCTGGGCTGCCATGGGGCCACGTGCCTCTGGGCTCCAACCTCCGCAACCATCTCCAGCTGTTTTCCAGCTGGAGAGCAAGAAACCCCAAAATCAGAGTTGTAAACAAACTGCCAGATGCTACACCGAATGGGTTTAACATGGACAGGCGCTTGGCAGCTTCCAGCCAAGATGGCAACTAAAATCCCAGGCCCTTTCTCAGAACCATCCTGAGCGAACCCTCCAGAATCACGAGGATTTCTGCTCCCAGCTAACACAGCAACGCCCCTGGCCTCATGACAGCGCCCCAGGCTCACCTTCCGCCTCATCAGTGTCATGAACACTAACAAGGGCTGTTGTGGGGTGAACTGTGTCCCCTCAAAAGATATGTTGAAGTCCTAACCCCCGACATCTGTGACTATGACTGTATTTGGAAACACGGTCCTTGCAGATGTGATCAAGTTAAGATGTTTAAGGTATTTAAGTTAAGAAGTTTAGGGTGGGCCCTAACTCCATGACTGGTGTCCTTATAGGAGATGAAAACGAAGAAGACACACGAAGGAGAAGCCACATGAAGAAGCAGGCAGAGACTGGAGTGATGATGTGGCCAGAAGCTCAGGTGGCCTGGGGCCACCAGAAGCTAGGAGAGGCAGGATGGATCCTCCTCTGGACCCCCTGAGGAAGTGCGGCCCTCCCACACCCTGATCTCAGACTTGTGACCTCTAAGACTGCAGAGGAAACCTTGCTGCTGTGTCAGCTGCCCGGTTGGTGGTGCTTTGAGCAGCTGCCCCGGGCCTTGCAGGAGAGAGGAGAGGAGCACCATGTGGCAGTGAGGGGGACGCGGCGGCCCAGCCTGCTCATGAGGGTTAAGTGATCACAGTGTTGAAATGAAAATACACAGTGTTAGAAGTTCTACGAGGAAAAGAAGGATTTCAATGATGTGCTCACTGGCGTAGCAGAAAAAGCCACACCAGACTGAGCCCCGAGTGTGAAACCCTATTCCCTGCTGTGGGCTGAGCCGCGAGCACCCCTGGTCACCCTGGCTGTAACAAGAGCGTCTGCTCCCCTGGCCCTGGCCACTGCCACCCCTCGCTGAGCCCTCGACGGTCATCTGACCTCACAGCAGCCCCTCAGGCAGGGAATGCTTAGCGCAAACCTGTTTCACAGAGGAGACTGAGGCTCAGAGAGGCCAGGGCACCCGCTCAAAGTCACAGAGCTCCTGGATGGTGGAGCTCGGATTCCAACCAGGTCTGTTCCCAGAGCCTGGGTCAGAGCACCCCACTCATGACGTAGATGTTGGGAAGAGACTCTCAGAATTTCCTCCATTCCTGAAAACAACCAATCCTCGAAGCCTAAAACCTGTAGCTGGCAGCCCCCTTTGCTAGGCCAGCCACGCCTCATGCACTCGGCAGCGACTCTCTCTGTAGCCCCATTTCTAGGCCTGGGGAGCACAGAGAGAAATGGACGGTCCTCATCCTGGGGGCCTGCTATCGGCCTGCCATCTGTCAGGGAGCCGCAGTGACTCCCAGACACAAGGGCAGGGCCCTGAGCACAGCAGCAGAGCCCCAGGAAGGACAGATTCTGCATGGGCAGGTGCGGGCCTGAAGAATGGGAAGGACATCTGAACGGGGACTTGAAGGCCAACTAGGAGGGAGAGCCAGGAGACGGCCCGACACGGGCCAGGCAAGAAGGGGTGGAGGGACACGGGGCCGCGGTGGGTGCAGCAGAAGGCCAAAGGGCACCCTGACTCACACCACATCTCATCCCATCCCAGCGCCCTCCCTCTTCAGAAATGGACAGGTTGGAGCATCATCGAGCACCATCACCACACCACGCAGGGCTCCTGGTTACAAAGCTCTATTGCAGCCTCCACGCTCTGGGAGCCCTCTCGCGAGCACGGCTCGGCAGGCAGGCTGCCGGCCTGTCCTGTTCCCAGGGTCTGGCCCACAGAGGAGTGCCTGAACCATCTGCTGAATGGACAGCCTAAAACAACACTGGTCTGCCCGGGACGCACACATGCAACTGGAGAGAAGACAGGGGCTCAGCGCCACGCTGTAGGACCAGGTTGGCGAGACGAGAGCAAAAGCGTGCCCACAAAGTGTGGGCCTGGCTGCAGGCAAGCCACCTTTCCTCTCAAGCCCTCCTGGACCCCATGAGTCCTCACACACAGAGGGGCCTTACCACTCTGCCCTAGAGAGTCACAGGATGACTCACACAAGACGCTGCGTGATCCGGGACGCCCTCGGGGCTGACAGCCACCAGGAGACACAACTACTTCGTGGGAGAGTTTGCCAGCCAAGGACAAGCAGGCTTCTGGGCTCTGTTTTTAAAATGGACTGATTTTCACCAAGAAAATACGTTTTTCTTCATATTAGTCTCCTCTCAGATCAGCAGTTCCACCTCCCCAGGGATGCCAGAGGCATGGTGTGCAGCTGCCACATTCAGGCCAAACTGACCCCTCTGCCCCACTCAGCCCCCCAAACACTCGGAAATACTGCTGTCTATGGAGCATGACAGCCACTCAGAAGAATCTGAACGCAAAGTCAAGAACCTGGACCACAAAGAACTGTCTTCTGGACTCGACCCTCCCAACCACAGACCCTCAGAAGGACCCCATCACCTTGACCTGCCTGAGGGCCAGGGGCGCGAGGGGACTATGCCAGTGCAGCCGTGATGGCCTCCACGTAAGAAGAGTCTCCCCTGGACACCAGGGACCAGTGGCTGGCTCGAGAGCCGCAGGCTCTGCCCTCAGCCCCTCCCTGCACACCTCCAGGGCTGGCCTCAGTGCCAGCCCCGCAGCTCTGTCCTGCAGACAAAGGCTAAGCAGTGGTTTTGAGAAGGGACTTTGACGAGCAGCCAGTCCTGAATCCCAGACCCAAGAACCAGTCACTCCTCAGGGTGAGGGTGGCGGGGTGGAGGGTGGGGGGATAGCCCCAGGGTCTGGAGGAAGGGGCCAAGAAGGCAGGGCCACCTGGGGGCCAGCGCTCAACGACACTGGAAGCTGCAGCTCTGCAGGTGGCTGTGAAAGGGTCTCTGTGAGAAGAAAGCAGGGTGTCTGGCAGCCAGAGGCTATCTGGGCCGGGGTACAGACTGGGGGGCAGAGCTCTGGGGTGGGGGGCTGCTCTGGGATAGGCTGAGGGGTTCCTAGAACTGGAATCATGGGAGTAACTGCAACCTGGGTTGTGACAGGCCCAGGGACACTGACCTCAGAGAGAACAGTGGGGACAGGAGTCAGCAAGGAGGCAATGGGGGGACCAGTGACCAGTAGCTGTGGTATAGTGGGCTGGGAGGTCCGGCCTGGTGCAGAAGACTCTGAGACTAGATGTCACAGTGCAGGGAAGACCTCTAGCCCACATGATCATCCAGCTCAGCGAATGCACGGAACATTTAAGGAACGTTTGCGAGTCCGTGTGTCCAGCAGACTGAAAAAAGTGGGCTGGGGAGGGGGTGTGTCCAGAGCTGACAGGGCTGTGTCTGGGGGCTAAGGGCTGAGGGACCCCTGAAACCCATGTTCAGGGGATTGACAAGGTTGACAGGACTCTGACCCCACATCTAGGGGCTGGCAGAATTAAGGGGACCATGACTCCTACGTCTGGCAACTGGCAGGGCCTGAGGAAACCCTAACATCAACGTCCAGGGGGTTGACAGCCCCAGATGGGGCCCAGGCAAGACTTAGGCTGATGGCGCCCAGGCAAGATTCCCCCTCCCAGGCTGGCAATGCCCAGGACCCCCGAACCCTGTGTCCCTGGCTGGCAGGGCCCAGGACACTCCAACGCTGTGTCTGGGACTCCCAGAGGATCAGCGTCACCTCCTGATCCCCAAGTCCTGTGCTCAGAGAATGCTCCAGTCCTGTGTCATGGGCGGTGGGGGCCCCAGGTCACCCCGACGCCCAAGCCCAGTGCGGATGGGCCCGCCCCGGGCTGCGGACCCCACGTCACCCGCCCCTGCGCTGACCGGCCGGCCCCACTCACCTCTGGCGCTGCCCGTCCAGGCCCAGGCCCAGGCCCAGGCCGAGTCCGGCGGGGGGCGCGGG